TAACGAATGTTATTTTGATAATCTCGAGTTGATGTAAAATGTATGAAGGATATATTATATTTTACCATCATGTTATGTATTGAGACATTTTCTGACATTTAATGGATTCTACTGATCAATTATATTATATCATTACTGCATTATTAGAAGGGAACATAAACATTAACGCAGATCATAAATGGAGCTCCTGAAGTCAGATTCATCTGCATCCTGGATATTAACTGTTGGAAACATCTCTGGTTAAATTGTTTTTCATCCATTCCATAGACTTCTTGAGTTTTTCCTCTTAATCTTAAATCGTGGTGTTATTTTTGTTTATTATTGCTAATTGATTATGAAGATTTAAGTATTTCTTAGTCTTGAAGGTTCTATATAGCGAATAGATTGCTTGCTTTTATTGAACATATCTTCTTGAGTTGATCTGATAGAACTAATAAAATACCGGTCACTGATCTGATGTATAAATATCTTCATTTTATTTTAAAGCATTACCGCCTATCTATGAAATAGAAACATTACAATCTATGTATGATTTATTGTCATTTTAGTTACAACTGAAATAAATTGAAATCCATCCTATACTCCAATAAATTCATTGGTTGTTTTGAGGTTTGAAGATTTCATTATACAGCCAGGATTGTGTGCGACAGTCTCTGTATGCTGTGCTGTTTATGATAATATGAAATAGAATAACTTTTATTATTTTTTAAGGAAATACTGATTCTGTGTCAATGGTTGTACAAAGTTTCTAGGTGTTTATATACCTGTTGTCCCATTCGGCTGATATTTCTCCATTTAAGGGTGTTGACTTTATATGAAGGTTGGACTTGCTTGAGGAAGGTCTCCTGACCTCAGGGTCAATCCACTGTGCTGATGCAACAGAATTAATAATTACCTACCATAGCCTGACTAACCCGGATCGGGAAGAGAGCAGTGTGCACGGAGAAAATTATATTAACTTTTTAAATATGTCCAAACTGGTGATACTGTCCCAAATATTGTTTAGTTGTTTTAAGGTAGTAGTTTTATCCCAGCTGTGAAATACACCTTAAAAAAATAGTACTGTTCTATTTCTTGCCATTTAGGGCTTATTTAAGTGTTGAAGTGTCAGGTGTTTGATGTAGTTGTTCATTTTGTTCAATAGTTTCTTATGGGTTGAATCATATTAAAAAAATAATAATAATAGCATTAATTTTTCTATTTTATACACACATATATATTTATTTTTTATTAATGTGCTTATTTATATACTTTTTTTTTTTTTCTGGAATGGCATTTTAATTGTTTTCTTAATGGATTAATTTTATTGAAATTTAACATTTCCCAGTTCAAACTTCACAGACATTTTGTAAAAGCAAAAAAAACTTATTTCTTAATTTTAATTAACTTCTGTGCCATTCCAGAAAAAAATGTTTTTTAACTCTTTTGTTTTACAGGGTGGTATTCAGGCGGTTGGAATAGTTATCACATATGTATTGCTGCTTTGATTATTTTTAAATTTAAAACTTGAAACAATGAATAGTACATATTTCTTTTTTATGGATCGATTGATGAGCTTAATGTTAAGAATTTTAATGTATTTCTTGTGGTATTTTTATCACTTATAAGTTGGATTTAAAATTTTTCCAACATAAAATATATTTAAACATTTTTTAGAAACTCTACTTATACTTTTCATATATAAATTCTGAATCTTAAAGCTTAGTAAAGAGGAGATGATGCGATCATGAGAAATTAATATATAACTTAATTGCATTTAGTGTTAAAGAGGTGTTTTTTAAATCTTCATTTCAGTTTTTTTTTTTTTTTTTAATAATTCTAAGATCAATAATGAATTATCTGGCTTCTTGAAATTGAAATATTAATATGAATAATGGAGGATATTTTCCATTTTTAAAACTGTATTAATAATTTCTTGATAACTCTTAACCCTATTAGCTGAGGTGATTTGGATTTTACATATTAATATTGGCGAGCCTTTAATTATAGTATTATAAGTGAACTGTTTTAAATTTAAACCTATTAATTCTAGTGAATTATTTACTTATTTAAAAAATGATTCAGCTTGCTTACTTATACTTGAAGTTTGTTTCATTATCAAAATATTAGTGATAATTTAGTAAGGAATGATCGCTATCATTAAACAACAACTTGTATTGTGGGCTTATGTTAGTCTCATATCCTACCGGTCTACATTGTTTCTGTTAACAGCTCCTTAAGAAAAAAAAAATCCTGTTACTATAACAATTTTAGCATAACCAACTTAATAAGACCAAAGTTTTTGTACTGCAATGATAATATTAGTTTGTTTTGATTAAACATGAAAATACTTAGTATACCGAAAGAAATATTTTCGTTTTTATTTTACTTCTAATTGATTTTTAAAAATTATCTAGTATTTCGGTCCTTCTGTCTTGCCTAATTATACCATGCTTTGCAAAGTTCTAAGTGCCGTTCAGTTTTAATATTTGTTTCGTACCATCTGATCTAGTTTTGTTTCCGCACGTGCATATCAGTTTCTCAGGTCAGGCTTTCAGATATCTGTTCAGCCTGTGCCGAGTCTTATAGATAAAACATCTATTGTACTAACCTTAAAAATTGAAGAATGGCAGCTAAGGGGCGAAGACTGCCTTGTGATTGTTAAAATATTTGTTTGTTTTGTATTGACCTCAGCTGTATAAAGCACAAAGCAAGACTTCTCAAGAATATATATAACTACTGACACTTCAACTTAGAAGTGGTATGACTGCACAATAAATAAATAAAGGCTATAGGAAAGAAATTAGCTTTGTACCGATTTTCTGTCAGATCTTAGTAATTATTCAAATTACTGCGGTCGTAATACTTTTTACACATTAAAATAAGTTTGGACAATAATTAGAAACTACCTTAATTTGAAAGGGGTCCAACCAAAGAAGTGAATGTGTATATAAAAAACTTTAGGGTGTAAATGTAACAAGTTTACATTACACGCCCTAGTTTGAGGCGGGAGGAAAGGGAAGTAATGTTATCCCTTCTCTATGTTAACCCACATCTCATTCCCATTTTAATTATCAAGTTTTTACTAGTGTTATTGCAGTGAAGACTGATGCCAAGTTGCCCCTCTATAAGATGAAAAAAAGTAGGAGTTGCGTCCCGGTGACAGGGGGGATTTTAAATTCTCCGGCCCGGAAAAATCCAGTATAGTCTAAAGCGAGGTAGGAAAGAACAGAAAAAAAAAAGTTGAGTCTGATGCTTCCTTGTTTAAATTGTTTTTGAAAAAATCAGGAAGTACTGAAAAATAGTACTTATCTGTTATTGACTTGATATGTTGTGTTTATTATGCTACAGTTCATTTATATAACCTGCCCCCTGCCATTCTCTTTAATAGGCTTGCTGGCTATCATGATTTTTTTCTTGAAACAAATTGACGTAATAACTGTTTCAATTATGAAGAAGGGGGGGGAGTCCTTTCTTTCCATAACCATTAGAGTAACTTCAAATTTTACGCTCCACCCACAAGGTTTTGTCTTAATCTCGAGTTGTTTTTCTGTACGTCCAAGGCTTCAAGCCCTCAATGAGGATGGGCTATTTTCTGCTGAAATCCTTTGAAGAGTTGAGCTTTTGCAACTTTGTCTTATTTAATCTGTGTTTATGCATACATCGTTAAATCAAAAGTCCATAATCACCATGTAACATTGCCGTGTATTATATGTGGAATTGTGAAAATGATTTTAGTAGCAGGACATACTTAATAATTTATATATATATATATATATATATATATATATATATATATATATATATATATATATATATATATATCTTTTTTCCTACTGAAGAATTCGATATTAAACTTCAATTTAATATTTAATCGTAGTAATAACCCAAACAATGCTCTAGGTGGGTGGGGCCAATAAAAACTTATAAATAGTTTTAAAAATATTTAATTATTTATGTACAGTTTTTATTTAAATAAAAAAATTGTATGTATATTCATTTTGTTAATGCTTTATTTTCTTAAATTGTTCAAGTTACAAATTTATAAAACTTTCGACTATCTCTAAAATATGACTTGATGAAGACTACAGTTGGTTGTCGATGATTGTTGTTGATTGTACTCTTATAAAAATAAGTACTCTCTCCTAGTAGAGAAAAAATAATGTAGAATGGTTAGAATAAAATACTCATATTCAGATAAATATACTTACATTGATTTAAGAGATGAATTTTTGTCGACTATTGTTTTTGAAAAAGGTTAGGATGACGTATAATCAGGATTTTATTTACATTTTTTATTTTGATTGCTGGTGTTAATACTCTACATAATTAGATTTAACCATTGGCAACCTGAATAAAGTATTGTCAGCCAAAAATCATGATGATATAACGCCATACTAATACTAGATGATTATAATTTTAGTAAATTTAACAGAAATTTATTTTTTAGCAGTATACATATTTGAGATTAATTAAACTGTGTTTTGTTAATCAACTTTGATCTCTTCAATTTTTTTAAAGGCGATTAATAATGTTTATATTTGTTCTAAAATGTTAGGCTCTCTGCTATAATAGCATTATTATTTTGAATAAATGTCAAATATAATGTTTATATCTTTAACGAATAGCATGATGCTGGCTGTGGCTCTAGTCAAGATAAAATATGTCTGTGGCGAGTTTTATCTTTCTTTTATTTTATTTCTTATTTAATCCTTCATTTTTTTAATTTGTATTTTTCATGACACCTTTAATTAAAAGTCTTTCCTACTAATATTCATTGTTTAATTTTCAACTGTTTGCCTTGTTTTTCTCCCTTAAAGATATTTATTTTGCTTACTTTGGGTGTCAGTTTAAATTACTAATGTTGATTGAGTACTCAAATGCTAACCAACTTTAATTAATTTTGCTATCGGCACAATACTATATGTGATAAGCGATAAATTTCACCAGCCTTGTTTCCACCCTGAATATTACCAACTTTTTTGATGAGCTAATGATGATGATAACAATGAAACGGCTAGGAGGCGAATTACATGGATATGGGATATAGCCGGAGCAGGGGTTACGAAGGCGCCCGCCAAGAGATGGACGAAATGGGATCGAGGAGGCCTACAGGAGGTCGTTGGGCGCACCAGGAACGCAGGGGGCAAGAAGATTTCCCTAACAAGAGGCGTCGATATTAAATGAAGTTTTTATACCTTAACTCCTCAACTATATATTTGATATAGTTGATTTATCCGGTCAACAAATATATAGAATTTGATCTTTTATCAGATGAAGAGCTCTCTTTCTATCATTGGGAGGAGCAGGTTAATGTATCTATATTAATAAAATAAATATGACTTTAATAACATCTTCTCATGGCTTTTTGTTTTATATCATGTTTTATTATTACTATGTAGAATTACATAACAATGTTTGAAATTTAATATTAGTATTGTTTAGCAGTTAAACTTTTTTTTTGAGAAACAAAATAGTTTAAATAAATGTTTTTATGTTAGATGTGCTTGTCAATGTAGCAAGTCTTTAATCAGTTTCATCTGGATTAAAAAAAAAAAAAATAAAAAAAATAAACGATTAATAATCTCCTGTCCTTATTTTTATAATTTGGTGAAAATAAATACCTGAGGGGGCCAAGAGGCAAGAATGACCTTGATTACAAAATGATAAGTCAAGTATTGTTGTGTGTATAATTGATTGCATGTTAGTATTTAACCTACGGTCGATATATATATATATGTATTAGTATATTTTTAGTACTCTTTTAATAATTGTTTTTTCTCTTAATCGTTATATCATAAATAACAAATATTTCAGAGTTTACTCGATCAAAAACAATTATAATTTTTTAGGCTCTAACTGGGTTAGTAAATTGGAATAAGAATAAAAAAAAAGATGCATGATTTAATTGAATTTTATTAAATAACTTTATTAGTGACATTAATTAGCTTTAAATTAAAGAGAACATTTTTCAATAGTTTTGTCAGGTGTCTTTTTGTTTCCCCTAGGTATTTGTTCTTGGAACTTTAAATTACCTCTGAAACATTTACTTAAATTTTTATTTGCAATATAATTAATTAAGTAATGAATAATTGATTATACAATTGATTGTAGTTAATTATAATCGTTTTGAAACCAGTCCAAGTTGAGTGAAAAAGAATTGTTATAACTTCGTCGACTTGGTTTCATTTAATAATATTTAGCATTTAAGTTAGTAAGAAATAAACAGATTGATGTATTCATTTTTTATTTGTATTTTAAGCATTAATAAATCTATAAATTATTCCTCAATGTTTTGTGTTACTTTATTTTCATTAAAATTTCATCTACAATAAACTATATTTGTATAATTTTTTCACTGATAGTATATGCGCGAGTAATATAATTTAAATGAGAGGCTCTATTGAATACGATGCTTGTTAATATATTGCAAAGTATTGAGAATTTAAAAATTGCTAATATTTCTGTCATTCTGTTAAAATAATTGAATATTCCAAAAATTATCCATAGTTAAATATATTTTATATATATATATATATATATATATATATATATATATATATATATATATATATATATATATATATATATATATATATGGCTCCTGATAAATAATTAGTCAGGGTTGTAAATACCTCATAGTGTATAATTACGATAGTTGACGACTGCTTCGGTAATAATTTCAAACCAACCAATGCAGTATTGATTTACCTTATCTAAGTTGGCTATAGAAATAGTTCTTATTGAAATAATTAGGAAACCTGATAAAAAATGTATTTTATGTAGGTAGATTATTTATTGGTTTTGTCATAGTTGCTCTAAATATATATTTTCATGTTCTGTCTCAATTACTTTAATATAGTTGTGCATAAAACAAGAAAATATTCGTTATTTCTTCTTTTCATGCTTTTTTTTCCCTCTTAAGGTGCTACATAACAGAGATTGTCGTATTAATGATTAACACAATTTTGTTTTACTGTTGGCTTTTCAGAAAACCTGTGTTATGGTATAAAACTAGTCTAGTGCCAATGATGTTATAATACTCGAAGAAATAAAGAAATTTCATAGAGCACTTATAGTACATTATAGTTACCACTTCTTCAGATAAGTTTATATAAAGAAATATTACTTGAGCCGTAAAGCATTTTGCCGATGGGGTGTTGGATTGAGTTATTTCAAATTTTTTATGTAATTTATGTCTAAATGTTGCTTCTGTAAAGGCAAATGCTGAATTCAATTATATATTTAAAGAAGAGATCATCTTTCTTTAGTATTGCATTACACTGAAAGATTAGCTTGAGCTATGTGGCCACTACTACATTTTGTCCATTTGTCAGTTGATTCTGTCTTCTTTTATGACAAACTCATCTTTAATATGTTTTAACGAGAAAATTATAGGATTTTTCCTCTCTGTTCTTTTATTTCAGTGTTTTAAGTAATACAGAACTGCTTCTTAAATAAATACCCTACCTGTTTTTATTTTATTTATTATAATGGGTTAGTACTTCGTATTTAGATCTATGTTATGCCATAATTTTGGCAGTTTTAACAAATCTCAAAAGGCTTGCTGAATTAACAAGCTTTCATCCGTTAATTGATAAGTCCATTCCCAACAATTCATGAATCTTTTTTTACCCGTTGTTCGTATGATACTCAGTTTGATTCAGTCTACAGAAATATGATAATGAAGAAAATAACTATCTACATGAAATGGTGTTGAGGTGATTCTCGAAGTCCTATTAAATGTAATTGCACGAACAATAATACTGGAAGAGATAGTTTTTAATATTTTTTTTCCTGTAAGACATGGTTATATTTTATCGTTATTTGGGGAGACGGAGAGGCTTCAACTCGAAAGCCCCCCCTCACCCTTAGAGATCCGCCTGTGGTTGTAGTGGTACAGTTTTTTTTTTTTTTTTTTTGCTAGCTTATCAGCATCTTTCTTGGAATGCCCCACTTCAGTGAAGAATCAATCTGTGTAACAATTATCACTGTTATTTTTTTATTTTTTTAAATGTATTTCCATTTCCCTCCCTTGTCTTTAGACAATGCCGGATTCCAATTTATTGTATAAAAGCAATAATTTATAAGTCTTTTTTTTTACTATTTCAATATTTCTGTGCAGGAATTATCATGTATTGAGAGTTGAGGAATTGTGAGAGTTCCTGTCTCATTTGCCTTACTCTATATTAAAATGGGTTGTGCCTAATATTACTTTTTACTCCTGCTAGGCCTCGTATGGATAGCTATCCGCAGGGTCGAGTAGAGGTAAATCTTCTTCAGCGCAAGTGATGATGATATGTTTGGCAGTTTGTGGGACACCACAGCTGTAGCGTAGGGGATTCTCTTGTCTAAAACTGTGCAACTCCCTGTGTTGCTTTACTTAATGTTGTCAATACTAGTGTATTACTTAGTCTTAATATAATGTATGTGGGATTAAAATGTCAGATTGCATGTCCTCCTTTTTTAGCTGTGAAAATTTCAATATTTTTCTTAAGCTCCGGCTTTTGTTTCATTTGACATGTTAATGGATGGTTTTAATGCCTGGAGATGGTTGAACACATGTCGATTGTATCTGATCTATAATAAACAATTTTTTCCCAATTCTAATGACGATGATATGACAACTTTATATGAATTTCATAACAAGTGTTTGGTTATGGGGTAGGGTACTTCTTGTAATTATATTTTAACATTTATTGTGTGAATTTTTGTAAGGTTAGAATTTTAAAGTTTTCAATTAAGGTTAGAATTTCATGCCTCTTATTACACTTTTGAATAATTAAAAACATTTTGAAATAAGATGACTCGATTTCTACTTAAGGACATATTGTTTTCTGTCCTCTCAACTGTGGATGTATATAAGCTTAATGCTTGGTTGTGGACAAAACCTTTGTAAATAAAACAATTAAAGCAGTAGGTCATTTTAACTTGAATAAACAATTTTTACATAGATGATGGCCATTATGATGTAATGGTGATCACATCGAGCTAAAGGAATAAATGACTTTTCATAAATAATCTTTTGGAGAATTTAGGCTTAGGAATAAGTTTAGAATTCTTGAAGGAAATCGCAGGAATACCTAAGTCTTAGTTGAAATAAGAAAAAAACGCTACATAAATAAAAAAACCTTACTAGAGTTAAAACAGGTTTGTAAACTGTAGGACAAACCTTTCATCCAGGTCCAGTTGGCGATTACATGAGGACGATAAAGAATAAAAATCCCTTATAATTAATAAACCAACGCCGAAGGAATATTTTCATTTGAAAGCAGAATGGAATTATGTATTTAATACCTAATAGGCAAATAATGAATCAAAGAGAGTCTAGTCTGCAAATCTAATGAAATATTTCAGCCTTTCTAAATCAAGACATGCTAATTCCAACTTTTAATTTTTCAAGGAATTTGTTAGTAAATGAGATATTGAATAACTAAAATTTTAATAATACTGATAAATATATAATAACAAATCGATTTTAATTCTAAAATACTCAATTTCAAATAAACAATATCAGCGTTTATTTCCAAAGTGAACTCTAATCATCATTAACAAATTTTCAGGAAACGTGAAAAACTATATATATTCTCTATTTCAAATATAATATCAAAAGCAATTTTAAAAAGAAATTTCTTTCACGAATTTCTGAAAATAATTGATTATTTTAATATTAATTAAAAAACATTAAAACTTTTTATCACAACCTCTCTTGGAACAAAACAGGTAAATTTGGACTGGAAAAAAAAAAAATTGGTGTATACGATCTAGTAGCATTACAAAAGCATAATTTTTGTTACACTAGTGGTACAATGAAATGAATTTATTTTAAATTTTACTCAAATAAAAAGATAAATTAACATTCAGTGGATTTTTTTCCTACTTACTGAAAAATGCGTTCGGTAACATCCATTGGAAAAAAAAAAATAATAAGGTATTTGTAACTTAATGGCTGGTTATTACTCTTTAATAATATGTACCTCATCTTCCATAGATATCTTATTTTAAAAAACTGGAAAAAAAAAAAAATCTTAAAGTGAAACCATTTAAATTGAGTATATCATCATCACAAGTATTAAATGAAATAAATTAAAAAAATAATTTTATTGTTTTTAATTCTATTAAATGTGTTAATGGCCACTTTTTAGGTGGTATAAATATCGCTACTAGAATTGATGCCAGCTTGTCAACATTGCGTACGATATATGTCTCTGGATACGCAATTGTATTCATTTTGCATATCTCGAGGAGAAAATTGCTACTGTTAGTGCAAAAGGTCGTATGTAACAAGTTTACATGTTTATTCTGAATGCGCTAAAGGTGACCGTTAGCAGTCTGCTAAATATGAAATTGTAGTAATAAATCATAAAGAAATAATAGTTTTTTCTTAAGCAATTTTTACATATCATCTTTTGCACCAACAATAGCGATATGCTTAAAACATTTTTAGATACGTACGGTAGGTGATATACATTTTGCTAATAGATCTAACCTGAAAAGTAAAAATATTTTAAATTTGTTGTTTTTTTGTTTTTGAAAATCTTTTTGGAGGTCAACTTAAAACTAATTGGTCTTAATAGTAATGCAAAAAAAAAAAAATTGATCATTATTTGATTAAAAATTGGAATTTGCCTTAATATAGTAAATTACTTAACTTATATTTTGGATTTTATGGAAGTTTGCGGATTAAATATTGTTTAGATACTTTCAGTCCGGTATACTACAGGAGAAAAAAAAAAAAAATATTCTGATTCCAAGTTACCTATTTCTATAATTATGTACCTACAGTGCTTGCTATAGTATGATAGAATTTGAAACCAATCCATGTCAAAGCGACATTAAATAGTTTATGTTGCAATTAACGAGACGAAGGTTAGAAATACTGGAGTTATCGTTACTGGATACCTTAAGTGTAGATGTTATAGATAACATAAGTTGAACGAGAAGGGTATTATTCTCTTCTTTAAAATTTACAACTAACCTTGTAAGTTTTGTATCACAGCCATAATAATATCTGACTTAAGATGTCTCTCTTTACATTCTTATGGATCTGAAATTAAAAGGGACATTGTTCAAACCTTTAAAACTTGGAGTAGTTCTAACAATGCCCAACTTCAGTTGTTATTAAAAATATATATCTAACATGATTAGTTTTCTATACCTGAATGGTGGCATTTTAATGAACTTCAGACCCTGGAAATGGAAGAAAAATGACAAATCGATTTCATATTGTTGGAATTCAACCTAACAGAAGACTGTATCGAGACAAGTCTTCTGGATTCCTGTCTGTTCTGCCTTAGGTAAATGTATTAAACAAACAAAAAAATTAATAAGAACTGTGGTGAAGATGTTACATTATAGGTTAACATAAATGGCTGATTCTAAATGAAATAGTGAGTACCTAACATCTATGGGTATTTTATGTTAACCTACAAGTTCATAGACTTCAAATTATTAATTATTAAATTTATTGATTATTCTTCTGAGGTATTTCAAGTTTTATCATAAAACTTAACATTTTGTTCTGTATTTGCAAATATGGATATCAGGTGTTCAGAATATCTACCGTGTGAGGATAATACAATAGTAATGTAAAACATAAAAATTCGATGACACTCGAGTGAAGATAAATGTTTTAAACATTTCATTTATTTTATGTATATTAATAGTAAAACTTGTGTATAGGAATTAGAAGCCTATATTTTCCGGTTTTGCCTAATATCATTTGCCATACCACAATTGGGTCTGTTCAGAAGAAAATGAATCCTCCCTTGTTTCAAATATATGGAAGCAATGAATTTGTTGTGGACCAAGTTGCTACTGAATATGTGAGGACAGCCTGGACGAGGGTCTGGACTGATCTCATTGTTTGGTTTCACTTCTGATCCCAGTTGAAACATAACTGCACTCTTTGGAATCCACATCCTTTAACTTACAGCTGTTCATTTATTACTAGACCAAATTTTGAATCCGCCTACTTTCTCAAAATTGATAAGGGATTTGGATGCATCTTTTAATTCAACCGGTCAGTTAAAGATGGTCTCACCAACCCGACTCTACGATCCAGGAACCCCCCACTGTTGTGCTAAGCTGTGATGGTAACTAAATTATCATGTTATTCTGATCTTTTAATCTATTCATTGTCAGTGTTACTAAAGCATCCAAGTCAATCTGACATGATACTGTGCTGGTCCTTAGGGGACGATACCCTTCTACCTCTGCAAGGAGATCGACCAACAAAATGTATAAGAAGGAAGCTTGGTAGGATTTTAGTTCGTCTCCAGTTGTGGATTGTGGAAGATATCAAGAATAAAAAATCTGAGATGGAGCACCTCCACACTGACCAATCTCTGCTTCTCACAAGGGATTGTCCCAGGTCGTGCTGTTTGGTTTCATTATTCCTTTATGGGAGGGGGAGGATTGAAGAAGCTATGCTTCATAGTCTTGACTGGGATACTGATTCCCAGTGCCATGCACTGCATTTAAGGCGCACAGTTCCACTTTAATGAGAACTGCAGAATTATTGGGCCTTTGAAATCATTCATTTATGGTTAGAAGATGGCAATAGTTTCTGCTTATATCTTGTATAAGCTGAGGATGTAGATGTAGGGGATACTGCCAGCGCTGAGGAAGAAGAAGGTGATTCTTAAAATATTAAGGTCTTTTTCCATGAGTTTAACACTGTTGCCGATTTTATACTTGTTTGTCTGGCAAGAAAAAGAAGTGAAAAAATAAAAATTGTACAGTAACTTCTTTTGGAAGGTGAGAAAAAATACTTTTAATTGTGGTGGCATATGGATTGATGTCATAATTATAAAGTAAAATTTATAACTTGTTTATTCTTCTTTTCTGCCACAAGACAGGGAGTAACCTTATTTATATTATGTTTTTCTCTATAAATCTCACTATCTTCAACATCCTCTTCTTATCATTCCAGATCCTTTATTCCGTCTTTCTTGGCAGCTTGCTCCTTTACTTTCATTTAAATTCTTTTTGTTCTAAGATTCTGCTTAAAATGTTGTATGCAAACTGAAACATTGGAATTTGCGTCTTATTGCTTGTCAACATATGAATTAATTGTTTATTTCATTAAAATAATTATATATAAAACCTGCTACCAGAGAAGGAGACTGACGGAATTAGAAAAAATGGCAGAACATTTTAAGAACTATTAACTAAGAATTATCATTGATTTATTATTACAGTAATAATCGATAAATATATATAAACAAAAATAAGACATAATTCTGTGACTTAAATAGTACTCCCAGAATAATCATTAATCTTTTCTTTTCTATATTTATTTTCATCCTGCTTGCCTATTGCCATTGTAGGTTTTGGTGGAAGTAATACATTCCATCTCTACTGATAGTTATTTTTCATATTAAAAATTTCTTTTATTCTCCTTTCATATTTCTTACCTAATGCTTCCATTCCCTTGTAATACTTCCTTGATCGAAGGAGGTTAAAATAATTGTGCCCCATTATTTTGTTCCACTCATGTGCAAAAGATTTCATTGTAAGGGCTGGGATTATGTTCAGTTTTCTTCAATAGTTTAGATGGCGTTGCCTCCAACACGGTGCACGTTATGTTGATGACATACACAGTACTTTCCAAAACACCGTGGCAGGCCTCGAGCAGTATTTCAAATAAAGTACACAATAAGATAATTCTATTATCTTGCATTTTAAGAAGTAAAATATAAAATAGATTGTATGTAACTGTATTCTCTTTTTTAAATACAAAAAATCATTTTTGTTTCATTTCCAAGATACTAAAATACAGAAATTTATTTTATTTTTTATTTCAAATACACCAAATAAATTACTAAATAGAGTAGTTTCCGTGTATTATATGCTGATCATCCACCAGAAAGTGTATTTGAAATATATTTTCTAATGACAATTTAAATACTGTATGTTTATAATTATATTTAAAATACATCTTACCATATCTGCACCATGGTTGGAGCTTAGGGAGTTAATGTCTTTCTGGAAGTCATAAAGCTTCGCACAAAATTCCTCATGCCTCGGGAGCAATTTACAACTTACAAAAGGAAAGATGGACCTATTTAGCTTTCAACCATGAATATTTTGCGAGAAAGGAAGTATTTTCTCAAGGTAGAAGTAGTACCTTTCTTGAGTAATTAATGGTGTCCTCTGGTATCTTTTCTATTTTTTTAGATTTGCTGCATTACAATCCTCCCATGAAGATTTGATAATCTGCTGATCCTTCTCCCTCGCACTGACCCTGTGAAAACCTGCGTTCCCTTATGAGCAAAAGATCCTCTTTAGTAGCTATTTAGTTCCCTTAACTTCTTTCTTGTTGTTAGGAGTGGTTTCAATCCCAGGTAAGTAATAACCTAATGCCTCAAACAGCTCTCTCCGATATGTCAGTTGTAGGCCACTGGTACTGGTGGCGGGACTTAGTCCGGCAAGTGTACCTATTGGTCCTTTTTGCCAACCCCCAGTTGTGGACTAGGGTCATTCTGCTTCTCAAGTAATAGGAGTGAGGACACTTTGAATCTTATTCAAGGTTTCAACTTGCCGCCCCTGTCGAAAGGTAACCACACGCTTTGAAGGGGAAGTGGAAACCATTCTCTTGAGTTGATCTGAAAGATAAGAAAGTGGCTTTCTTTGTTGACACTCAGGCAGCCATTTTATCTCTCCAAAATGGATATAATTTTAATCCAGATTTCCTTAAATGTCACCTGTATTTGGACCGATTAAAGTAAAATGGGGCAGATGCCACTTTCCAATTTTCCAGTGGACACCAGGCCATTGCTAGCTCCACGGAAATTATGAAGCTGACAAACTGGCCAGAATAGGTTCTGGAATGATCCAACCCACATATTCCTCTGGGCATGGATTTGACTAAAACAATAATAAAACAGACCCTCCAAAGTTCACTGAAGGAGAAATATGCACAAAAAATTGAAGAGATGCAATGAAGTGGATTGCTGGAAGAAAGTGGCAGGATCCCGAGAGACCTCCCTATAAAAGCTCGACATGCCCTTTATGTTCCTTAGATATGATGACAGGAGAACATCTTGATACATGCCCTGCATTGCAAGACATAAGATGTTCCTTTAGGGAAATGGACATCCCTTATGCTAGGAGAACAAAATTATATTGGACTGGAAGAGAACGCATGGCTGATCAAGCAGGCGTTACTTAGGCAAAGGAAAAAAAAAAACTTTAAATCTTCAGTCAAACCTTGTTCCAAGGTAACTTATCGCTTCGGTGGGATATACTCTTATGCTATTCATAAGATATTTATATAGGAGCGTGTCCTAGCAATGATTGTACAGTTTAGAAGGATAATTGGGTTATGTATGACCACATATATTATTACAGTAAGGCTCGAAATCTGTTTCGTACCAAATATAAGCTCCTATCATGCTCAAATGCCATGAATGGGATACTGTTGGATTCAGAATTTCACAAGTGTTAGCAAATCGTGTATTCTCCATTTTTGTTTTTGTTTCTAAAATAAATAAAGCCGATAAAAACATTTTGCTAGGCTTCAATACTGGAACAGTGGTAGTAAGTCTGTAGATCGATACGGGACAAATTGGGTTTTGAAGATATTGGTGTGTACAGCAAGACCTGGATAGTTCCTTAGCTCTGCATTGTTGAGCCCCAAAATGTGTACTATTTTCGTGATAACGCAAGGTAAAGGGTTTGCATCCACACAACCTTACATTAATTGTAGTACTATCATTGAATACATGTCTCATTTCGTCGACTTGAGGCCCCTATGTTGAAGAGAGGAGGAGTTAATATTATTTATTGAAGGTGTTTTTTGTAGGTAAGCCACATTATCATAATTCTTTACCAAATCCCAAGATTGAGCCACCAATTTTGAAGGCTTCCTTCTTCAGGCGAGCAAAATAGTCTAATCACCCCGATAATTCAGGCAAAAAAGTTATAAAAGAAAAGAAACTCAATTTGCGAATAACTAAAAAATTACAATTTTTCCTGTATAAAAGATTACTAAATTCCCTACAAAAGGAAAAAAAAAATAAAAAATCAATGAAATCTGACAATTTTTAGGACAGAAACAGCTTATTGAAATTTGTAAACATGTTAGTTCCAAGCTTTAATGAAGTTTTTAATTAATTTTTATTTCCTTTTTCAATTATATTTATCGAGAAAGTACCAATTGATTTCTTTATCTTCTGATAACATTGCATTATTTTATTTTCGCACGGGCCTACTAGTTTAATAAAAAACAGCAAATTATGAGGCCCTTTAGGTTCAGCAGATTTTCTATGATCCAAGTTAAATGTATTTTGGAATTCTTTTACCCATTTGATATCTGTCTACTTTCTCTATTTCTTAGAAAAAAATAATGTTTGGAGGCATGATTTAATTTTTTAATGTCTCCACAGCCTTTTTTCTTACCTTGTCATTACCTTCTTTTCTCTCCTGTTTAATTTTGATTGTTTTATGGTTTCCTTGGTATTTATTACCATTTATAAGAAAATAATCTTAAAAGGGAATTGATTCTTAAAAAAATAAAATTAGAGAAGCTATCTCCATTTTATTTTATTACGATCCTACCATCTAGAGAAACCACATTTCATTACGATCCTACCCTTCTAGAGAATCCACATGTCATTACAATCCTAGCCATTGCAAATAAGATTTTAATCCTAAAGCTATTGGTGTGTTGTATTAGTAGGATTAGAGTTTAATATCACTTTTTGATTGGTTAATTGTTAAATCCTCAATTTGTTTCAAAGTTCTTGTTTCAGGAAATGTATTCTTTAATGTTTAAACAACGGATTTATTTGTAAAATAAAAGTTATTTACATTCATGGAAAAACATTCTTCAAACATTATGAAAACTGACAATTATTCAGTGCCTTTCATCTGAATATAAGGATTATTTTTATAATTTTCTTATTTAATTTTTCAACGTCTACGAAATATGGTATGTATGACTATTTCATTATATTATTGCTCTGCTATGTTGTTTTTTTTTTTTTTTTTCATCAGTATATAATACTGGAAAAATTCATAAAAAAATTTAAATGAAAACAATTTAAAAAACATCTTTTATCACTTATGTAAATTTCATTTATATTAATATTAATAATCATGGACTTCGGCAAATCTCTTTCTAAAATAAATAAGTATAAATTATAACAAAGTTAATCATTTTTATTTGTAATGATGTGCTTTCAAAATATCAATGTTATATGTATTTGTGAACTTTGTTGATTGATTCTTCATTATAATCGTTTTTCATAAAAACAGTTTTGAAGTCATTACTATTGAGCGGGCTGAAGGATTGCCTTAGCATTCATGAATCAAAAGCGGCGTCAGTTCAAATCTGATCTTCTAATTAAATTTTTTTAAAATGTCTTATCAATAGAATAAATCATGAATTTCTCATTCAGGCTAAAATTTGTTCTTTTCAAAGATCTCTAATTGGAGTCCATAAAAATATTAAACCTAAGCTATGTAAAACAACCTCATTATAATAGTAATTTAAAAAATAAAGAATTTTTTCACACATTTATTAGTATTTGAAGTATAAAATTGTTAAAACTTCTTTACTATAGACTTTCCCCTATTCGCAAGCATAAAGAAAACCCAACATTTCTACAACACTTAAGGTGAATTTTTATGAGAACGAAGAAGTTATAAAAAATCAGTACCTAAAATTAAAATACGCCCAATCTACTACTACGCTAAGTATCGGAATGCATTACCTCTAGCCTTCCTTTGTCCTTTAAAGGAATAATTTACTATTTGGCTGGGATCTAGAGTTATTTACGCTAACCTAATTTTAACAATTTAGAGTACAATCCAATATAAACATTGAAAAAATAATAATAAACAACTCCTTATGCATGGCTATATTGATCATCTCAACTTAATTTCAGTAATAAAAATATTCAGAATGATGGTATAATAAATACAATATAAAAGTATATATATTTAGTTATCTGGTTCTGTTAATGGATGCAGTCCATTACTTTTGAATGGTACCAAGGAAGAAAGTTCATTTAATTTATTTTATTTTTAATCTGAAGAAAAAGTTATGTTTATCTCAACTTTGGAGTGAAATCAACAAAAATGTTGTAATCGTTATTTGGGATGGGGTGTAAGTGTTTGTAATTTATATTGTATTTGTTTTTAAGGCTTAGTTTTAACTTGTTGATTTCCTTAGGGGTAAGTTTAAATCTTTCCTCCAGCTTCAATTTGTTTATACTGTGCAGTTAAAAATCTGTTAGCTAATTTTAACCGTAACTAAAAGTAAACAAAACCAAAGCAATATTTGACATCAGCATTCATTGTCAACAGAAAGCGAAACTTTTTTTTATTTTAATACATAAATTAATTTGAAGACAAATTTTGTTGTGTATATTCATTACAAAAAAAAAAAATTATGAAAAACATATTTATTCATGTTTCAATGTTATTTAATTATTCGGATAAATAATTATTTTAATTCCGTCTTCCTTTTTTTAAAGCTCATTTTAGGTAAACAATTATGTACAAAGTTCTTCTACAATGATTTATATTCTGTAAATTCCAATGGTCTTTTTTATTTTAATGATCATTAAATCATACATTCTATAAAGGAACAAATTTTGTTTCATAATAATCGTTAACATTTAATTTTTTATGATTTATTTTATAATTTGCAATTAATTATTGTATTAAGTTGAAAATGTTTTGACGAAACTATTTAATAACAGAACTAATTGTTTTTTTTCTAGCATTTTACAAGAAATGTGTTTAATGATCCAAAAGGCTAAATGGGATAGATGTACTAGGGTGAAACCTGAGTTTTACTCTAGAATCAATATCCCGATTTGGTCATATTTTGTATTAAAAATATTACATGTACTTCACTTGATTGGAAAAAGGTAAGTCTTTTAATTTTTATTTAACGGAAGGGCTCAACTCAAATTGAATTAGGTGGGGGAGGGATACTAATAAAATATAATATATTTTAAAAAATAAATACGTCTTGGGATTATTTCTTTCTTTTTTTTGATATGTTGTACTATAACCCATAGATTCCACGAGGCTCTTTACCACTCCTGTTGGTGTTCTCTTGGCAGTAGTCCCTAAACGAATCCATTTTAGACCAAAACGCCCTCACTTGAGTTTTTTTATTGCGATGTAATACCTTTAGCTACATGTTTGTGTTGACATTTGGTATTGCTGGATTGTCTTGTCGATAGGCTTGCGACATTCAGTTTTATTCAACTCAGTTGGGTATTATTGCAAGATTTCAATTAAATTTGTAGCAATATATGTTAAATAAATAATGTTATTATTGTCTTTTTCGTAGGTGTTAGTGTGAGATATGATCTCTTTTGTATGGTTTGCATTACTTAATAGTTTTCTCATATTTTTCTGTCCTAATAAATGTTTGTATCAAAGGTTGGCTGGTTATTTAGTAAGTACCTGGTTGGTGTTGCACCAATAATAATTTCTAACTTGTTTTTTGAAGTTATATAACTCATTAATTTATCTTGCTTTTTATATTTTAAGTATTAATTACATGCCATTATTTGAACGCTCATAATAAATAAATGTCCTAGTTTTGTATTATTACCAATTAGTCTTGATCTCCATTGCAGACGATGTATAGATGGACTGAAGAAAAAGAGGACTCGTGTATTTTTGTATTAGTAAATTAGGTTTGAGCCTCTTCTTAACTGATTAATAATTAACTAATTCTTATGATCCTAACTCAAGTTCTGTTTTCGCATGGGTTGGGTGTTTCCTTCTTGTTTCATCTTGATAATTATGACGAAATTAACTGTCTCTGGTTGTTGAGCTGAATTGTTGCGACAGTTGTAGGTCATTGTTAAAGGATATTGCCTGATGTGAGGCACTAGCCGTGTACATGTTGATTTTCTTTCTTAATTGGATGGATTAAATTAGTCGCAGATTAATGAGAGCTGAGATTAAGGAGGTCACTCTACGGATGTAAACACTGGTTCTTCGATAACGGTTTGTATTGGATGGACATGGATCATTCAAGATAACTAGGTAAATTGTAATTAAGAGGTCTGTTTCGTGTTCATTATTTTTTTTTCTTTTCGTAATCTATTTTTTGTTTGTTGCTATGTACTATTATTCTTTTAATTTTTTTAATGAACTTTTCAAAATTTTCTTGACCTTATAAGTTAAATAATATTATTTTAAAAATATTTATGTCCGATCAAGTAGAGTTAGACTGGTAATACATTTTTCATCAGTTTACATTTTAAGTTTTTTCAGCAACACGTGATGATCTATTGCATCTACTTTTTGTAAATAAATAGTTTATCTCTAATTAGGCAGTTAAGTATAAGATTCACTCTGTGACAGAATCTACCAATGGTGGAATTTTTTTCTTTCTATTCTAGGCTTTCATTTAAATGCATGACTTTAATTTAAAGATAATATTACGGCTATATTAATTTGAATATAAATAATATATAAAAGAAATAATTTTGATTTTAATATTTGTTAATTATAAATTAAAAAAATACTCTAGTTTAACGATATCAGTTAAACTAAACTATCATTCCTGTCATAAAGAAATAATGAAATCTGATACCAGACTGCGTCACAAATCTTAAGGATTTTTCATCATAAGGTTATACCATACCTAAAATTTTAGATTTTTTAAAATTTTACTTTTTTTTATTAACAAATTTATTAAAAATGTCTTACTACATGTAGGAGTTTTATCTGCCTTTAAAAAATTCAATATTTGTATTTCGTTGATTATAAATTTTCAGATGTTGCAGTTGCCAATCATACATAATTATGAAGAAACTTAATACTGTACTGTATACCAGTTGATTTAATGCATTATGTCATCGAAATTCTTTTAGTTTCAAAATCTTATCAGGTTATTCAATAGAAATGACGGTTTTAAAATTTGGTTTAAAAAGGCTTACTTCCTGAATTCAGATTTGTGCTTAAAAACTTGCCCAAAATATTAATCAATGAATTCAAATTTCTAAATATAATTAAATAAATCATGCTGAGTATGAAAACTGCTTCATTCTTTTAAACAGTTATTTTATGTTACAAATAGAAAAAAAACAACGTAGAATTGATTTTTCATAATATATTTTTGACTAGCATAATTCGATTTATTGATTTTTCTTCAATTTTTGATGTTATAAACATGTAAAAAATAATACAATTGAATAAATCTTAAATGATGAATTAAAGAAGTATTTATACAAGTTTACAGTATCTTGTCCAAAGTGCATGTTGTAAGAATTCATTCTGTAAAATAAAGAACATGTGTGGATTCATATTTGTAGAGATGATGTAGGGAAGGTATTTACTTGATCTGAAATGTGTGTTATCTTTTAACGAATTTGTAATAAAGTATCTTCTCTCGACTAAAACTAATACTTTTTTATACTACTACATTTGATAGTTTTAATGTTTTATCATGAAATAACCTGTGGTGGTAGAGGGAGAGAATTAAAATACCTGTAATACAATTTATAAATAATCTTTTCCCCTTATTTGCCTTTAATAAGAGTAATGGCTTTATTGCATTTTACCTTTTGGTGTATTAGAGGAATTTGTTCTGTCTATTATTAAACTTTGAATTTATTTGATTTGCAGAATGAATATATAAATTACGCAATTACTAACTAAAGTTTATTTCTATCTCAATAGTACAGAATTTCAGATATACATTTTACTTTTCTTTTTTTTTTTTTTGAGTTTTAGTTTAAACTTATTTTATTTTACCTTTAATTTTTCTATGCATGGTAGTTTATAATGAGTTGAGTAATGATTCTTTTCGTTTCTTTCATTCTTTTGATTTATGTGTAAGTGTTCGCTTTTCAAATTTATGGTGGTTGGTATTTATTTTAAACAGCTATTTTATAATTATTCATTTTCTATCTAATTCAAATTAAATTTTGTCCAATTAATTAAGGGTTAGTTTTGATTTATGATGTTTGATTAGTTTTAATATATATGATAATTATTATTAATCATTCGTTCGTATTCCTTTTGGGATCGGTCATTACTCACTAAAAATAATAGAAATTCAACTGCTGTGCTTTCCCTTTTTTTTCTTCTAATGAAGCCAATTAGCCGATTTTAAGCATTGATTTATATTACTTTTAATATCTCTAGAACTTACTAGAATTTTTAGTAAGTGAATTATTCAAATAAAAGCAAAAAATTAAGGATTAAAGTTTAATTTTTAAATTGTTGCGGCTACATTGACTGCACTTACAGAACCTATCACCTAATATATGATTGAAATTAAGGTTTCTAATAGTTGGGATTGAGGAGAACGGTAACAGGCTAACAACTTGAACGTAGACAGGGCGATGTGTGCATAGCTTATGCTGGGAGATCATGCCCAAGCATTGTCAAATTTGCAATCTTTAACTTTTTAAAACATTTTTATTTGTAAATCAAATGTTATTTCAATTATAAAAAGTTACTTGGTGATTAGAAGAGGAGTTATCTTAAAGTTGTTTGCCTATAGGGATTGACATTTTTATTTATTACTTCATCACGGGAATTGATGCTCACAGGGTCCAAGAAACCAGTTTGACCTACAATTGTTGAGAATTAATAATTTTCGCAGTAATGGTACGTTTTTACCTCCACACCATTGGTGACGCATCAGTTATCTTAATTTTTTTTAAAGTTCCTGTCGATTGATTGTAATTAGTGAAATGATAAATCTTTTACAGTCCTCTTTCATGTTAAAGAATCGAAACTAATTTTAATATTCACGTTACCTGATGAATATTATCATTGTTTAGAATTGGTATTTGTGATGTCAACAGCCATTTGGCGATACAAAATATATATTTTTCTGCAAAACAATTTCATGTTCAAACTAAATTTTTGTTGATTATTATTAATTTTTTTTTTATGCGATACAAGATTTGATATTGGGGGGGAGTACATGAGTTATATGCAAACGAACTATTCATTTTCTAAGTCACTTCTCTGTCACCTATTTTTAAGTTTTACTTTATTTCAACTCTATAATTTAGTTAATTTAATTTGCAATGTTTTAGTTTTTTTATATTGTGAAATAAATCGTGCTTTTAATTTTTTTTATTGCTTATTTGTTATGTTGGAATTTTTTACTATTATAATTGCCAGATTTGCTAATGATTATTTATTACTGTTGAATATTTTCAAGGATGGACGATGATAATTTCATTGTGCTGTGTCGGAGCAGTGTCAGCTGGTTGGTATCCTATAAATTATTCGATTAAAATACGCTCCGCTCGAAATAATGGACTGGTAAAAATACAAATTTATCATGAGCAATCTCTGTTATTAGATTGTTACCATTATATATTTATTTTATGTGACCATTTTGTATTTTCGAATTGAAATTTATCTCGTATCAGTATAAAAACAAATAATAAGAATCGTAAAATAATGGCTGTAGACTGTATTATATAAATTGCTTATCTGAAATAGATAAAATTTTTGTCTTATAATTTTTATGATTTAAACAAATAGCTATGGATTATAATTATTAATTATAATTACAAAAGCTGAAAGTAAAATTTCTTAATCTTACCTTAATTTGTATGTGTTTGTATACTAATAATTTTTAAGAACTGAAAGTTAAAGCAGATAACTATAGTGTTCTAGCTTACCGGTATTTCATATTGAAATTATTTTTAAAAAATATATATGTTATTAATTCTTCAGAAAATTAATGAAATGGGTTATATATCATTTAATGTGTTACTCTCAATCCTTCGATGACTGTTAAATTATTTTGTACCTCAAACTTAACTACGTGTGGTTATATTATAGCCTGGATCTTGACGATCCCACCGTGGCTGGAATAGATTAATAACCAGTAAGATGAGTGTCACCAACAGAAATAGCCAACTAGAAAGAAAAGTACCCCACACATTTTAAGTGCTGTGTAACACTTTCAAACAGGCAGAGCGAAAGAGAATAAACTTCCATTCTCGGTGTACAATGGCACAGCTTTTTACCCTTCATTTATATTGGCTTCGGAGAGGTCCAACTTGTAAATAGCTTCTGCAGCGGACGCATGTATATCAGAAGATTGCTGAAGATTACCTAAGCCTTCTGTAAAGACCTTTTAACTCAGGTGCTGTAGACATTGGTGCTTCCTAATTTTTTCTGCACAGACTGAATTAATTTTACCATCGCAATCTTATTTCATTTCCTTTATTCATATTATCATTCAAATCCGCTTATAAATAATATCAAATCCGTTTTATTTCTTGATTTATTTAATACTGTTACATAATCTGTATTTACCTAGGTGGTTATTTTTGGTTGTTGCCAATGAAAAGATTTCCCTGGTCATCTGACATCGTAGTGATTTTTTTTTTCATATTTTATTTATTTGGCCATAAATTAAAGGATGTCTGTATTCTTTCACTTTTTCACTGTTGTTGTTTACCCACTTTTTGTCGAGTGGCAATTTAAACATTTTCTTTGCAGTGTTTTATATTTTTGCTTCCAGTCCTCACCGAAGGAAAAACTTGTTGCATTAAGCCCTTTTATCAGTGACTGTCATATTGCTTTCTAAATGTTATAATGCATTGGCAATGAAAGTCGTTATTTCAGGAACAATGCACCTGTTTCTATTGGTTTAGAGTATAACTGATAATTTTGTTTATAGACACCTCCTTTATTGCTAAAATTAAAAAAAAAAAGGTTGATTCTTTACACTAAATATTTTCTTGTTGATTTTTATCTTATAAAGTTTCAGGTAAAACAATTTTTCTTAAAATCTTTCAATCGCCTTGTGTGTAATTTCTGAAATAACAAATTCAATAATTAAATTGTTGGTACTTTTTTTTTCTATTATAAAGTTCGGTCTTGCAGAAACTTATCTGATGATTATAACTACATAGGACATGATTATTACATTACATAGCTATATGAAAATGAAATGGTTTTGCGACCAGCCCAGTAGAAGAGAAAATCTTCATTCTTGCCTGTTTTATGTGGAAACCCCTGAAGTATTAAATTAAAATAAAATAAATAGTTATAATTCATCAAATAAACATTCCGCCTTTGTTTTAATTGAATTGCCATTATTTTAAACTGAAGTTAAAAGTTGAGCTAAATGCCATTGTTTGTTTTATTGCAAGTTGTTTTTTCTCTTAGTCTGACGGAATTTTTAATATTTTTTCTGCTGCTGCAAACTGATGATAAACATTCTTTTTCTTATTTTATTCTAAAGTCAGAAGGCGGTTTTACATGAGTACATGCCAGTGGACAAAATATTCTTTGATGGGTAACATCAGATAGAAGTTGGCATGAAACAACATTATCATACCAAAATAACTAGACTAATCAATTACTTATTCCCAAACTTAAGGGCATGATAATTGAGGTTAATTTTGCAAGAGAGATTTTATAAAAATTGGACTTATTTAAATGATGAAATAAAAAATGACGGATTAAGAATCTAAGGTTTTGATGAAAATATTTGTTGATGGAGTAACGTTTGGAGGAGGGCAATACTCACTTTTTTTTTTTTTTAATGAATTTAACCTCTGCTAATATTTTTCTTCATATATTAAGAATTAAAATTGATGAAATAATATGAAGTGATTATAATGTAAAAATATATTTTAAAAACTAAACTGGAGTAATTTGTAAGAAATGTAGGATATCTATCTAAACTTATAAGGTAGTTATCGTTTTTAATAATTCTGGTTTTATCTCAATTTTTTAATCTACTGTGTTAAAATCATATTAATGATTTGTCTCATTATATTGTTTATTATTTTTTTTATGCTCTCTAATCATTTGTTTTACTTTTAATAAATATTATCTTTATTTCAAACAGTGAATTATTTTATATTTCCGTGTTTCTATGTTTAAAATTGATTAATAAGGTAAATCACTTTTTGTAATGTTGTACTCCAGTACTGACTTTAAATGAATCTGTTCTTAAAGTTTTGATCGATTCGGTTGAGGTCTAATTTTTCTAAAATAACTGTCTTAACAGTGCCTTAATGAATGTTTCCATATTTCAGCCTTTTTAGAAATGCTTAAAGAATTAAATATATTTAGGGATGAATTGAGGTTTTATAAAAAAGCAAATTATATTTACTACTTTTATTCATTTTTTGTATGAGATAATAACTGTACTACAATTTAGCCTCTTTATTGATTGTTGATTATTTCACTTTCAACTTTGGATATTGATAATTTGTTTATTTCAGATGAGGAGCTTGATTTCAGCTGTCTAAATTCTTTGCTGTCCTGCGTAATTGAAAAGAATGGTATGTTCATTGCTGAATTTTGTTTTATTATTAAATATGATTTAATATTTTGAATGTTCTCAAAATTTATATGTACAACATTTTTACATAGTCCTCCTTTATATCTTTATAGTGTGCATTTAAAAATTAATTTAGAGTAAATTTTCTTTTAATTTATTGTATCAGCTTATGCAGTGTTATAATCTGAATCAAGATTATGAATTATAGGCTGCATAAGGTTAAGGTCAGAAACTTCCTTACTTAAAAAAATATTCCCTTATTTAGCTTGTAAAGAACGGAACATGCCATGGCCAAGAAAAGCATTAATATTCTGTTGATATAGAACGAATGGAACGTAACAAGTTTCTCTTTTTTCCGCTTGTTGCAGAAAGGTTATGAAAAGATCCAGTTTTCTTTAAGAATTGCTCTAAAGTTAAGATATAAGGCAGGGGATATCCCTACAATATTATAAGCTCATCATTATGCATTTTTGTTGAGTAGATATGTGATTGAAAGATATAGTAGATATATGACGGGGCGTTTTATTGGCTGCTGTAGAAGCAGGACTACTTTGATCTGAGAATAATATGTTTTCCAGGCGGTCTCTTTTATAATATAAACTAAGTTGATTGATAACTGACCCTCTAAATGGGAGCTATCTTACTGATGATTTGAACTAAAGATGATGGAATCCATAATTGGTAGGATGAATGGATCACTCTTAAGTAATTAAATATTGCATGTTAAAAAAATCATAGGAGGTAGAAAGTCTTAGTGCTTTATGTTCTTTATAATGAAGAAATAGTCCAGTAGAACTCTGTGGTCTCGTGACCTGGGAGCCAAAAGCTTGGACCCCAGGTAGTTGTAAAGAAGAATGGAGGCGTTTTGATGCAACTGTTACGTCTCTATGATTTAAGATAAAATATATATCATTGATACAAATGCTAACTATTAAATATGATAAATTTGAATTGAATATTATATACCCTCGAACGATTGTAATTAAATAGTTTCAAACATTGAGTACAAAATCTTCAAACATTCATAAAAGCACATATTAGTGTGAAAATTTTAAAACATCCTCGTTGTTTTTCATGGTGATTTTCAGATTTGATAGTTAGCATTTGTATCGATGATATATCTGTAGAACATGAGAATAAAGAAGAAAGTGTGATGTAACATGATCTACTCTTGTTGATTACATTTTTTTTTCTTTTTTCTGAAATGGTTATGTTTAAATGGCCTTGGAATATATAATGTAGACAAGAAATGCTAATAAAACATTTGAGCTACACCCCAGTGATATACACATAAATATATGTATGTACATCAATACTGACATAAGTTGGCCTGATTTAACCTAACCTCGAGTCATTAATGGTTTATGTATTGTTTATTAACTTTAGAGTTTGTTCCAGCTTTCTGATTTCAGCAACTACTGGACATATAACAAAAATTGTATTTGCATTGGATAAACCTTTTACTGAAATAGATTTACAAAATCACAATACAACCAATTAAAATAAGAGCCATAACCAAGAAATTTAATCGAATTAGTAAAGTTTACGCTAAAGCTAGCACAGCTTTCTCATTGATATTATTTGTAGTCGCTATGCATAAAGTGTGCTATTAAATACTATGAATAAAGTACTCTGGGATATATTTTAGAGAAGACCTGTTTTTTGGTTTAGGTACAATTTATGTTCTTTTGTCTGGATTAGGTTGCAAAGAAAACCAGTACATACACAACAGAAAGAAAGGGCTAAAGATATTAACTCTGAAGTACTTCCAGTTTTTTTCTTTAAATAGTTTATTTGAAGTCCTTTAGTTTTTCCACATAAATTTTGGGCGTGTGCAGGGTTACTTGCTCATGTGCTTATCAATTCTCTGGAATGAAGTTAGTATATTTGGAATTATAAGCTGCTGGAACAGCAATATTTCGCTATTGAAATAATAGCACTGCTGAAGTGTTGTGCACAAATGACAGCTAATCAGTATCCTCTCTTCATAAAGGATTATTTAATTTAATTAAAATGTCATTTATAAATATGAATAAAGTAAAAACTAACTTGTTTGAAATACCGGAATTACTTTATAGTTTTTCATTATTGTATTTTTTTTTCCTATTCGTTAATTAAAAAAAAAATATCCTAAATACAGTTTACTATGCTTTTTAATATTTATCATTCTGTATCTAGTCAAAAATTCTCTCAAATTTTAAATGTCTAACAATTTATTACAGGTCGTGGACTTGGTGCCATGAGAGACTCATACTAGTACGAAAGGAGCAGAGCAGTAAAATAGCCAGCATCGTTCTGTTTAAGGTAAATAGTGTTCAATTTTTACAGCTTAAATACATTCTTTTTTGTATATTGATTGCAATATAATGGTCTTGAACTTCCTTTGTCAGTGAATTCCATGCAAAGAATTATTTTTAAATTTATTCATGCAAAGAAATTTTAATTATTAGTTGTCATTCACTGCGCCCTGAATTAAGGAAGTTAGTATTTTATTTATTTCAGTGAGAGACTTTCACCTTTTTAAAATCATGTCATAGTGTACAGTGTACCTATTCTTCAGTTAACATTTTTATTATGTGATATTTAAATCACAATTTATTGAAAAGTTATCTCTTTCTAAACAATTTTTTATTCAGAACTATCTTACGGAATATTTTGACAGATTTAATTTTTTTTATTTATTTTTTTTAGACAAATCTTATTGAGTAGTTAAATTTAAATTATTCTAATTTTTGTTGTATTTCAGGTGAGAAAAGTGATAGGGAAAGAAAAGTTGGCTTGTGAAAAGTATGAAGAAAGAAAATGATTGGTAGACCGACCCTTGAGTCAGTGGTGAGCAAATTATTTATTATTGAACAACAAACTATCTTTGATTTTATTTAGTATATTAAGCAATGAAATGAAATCTTAAGCAAAGCTGTTTATTTACATTAAATAAATAAATGATACACTGTTAATAAAATTATTTGTACATCAACTATTTTACAAACTGCTAATTCACAGCAGCATTGAGAGATGATATTGGAAGCAGTCCTTAATCAAATTAATTAATTTATATATTTGTATTAGGTTCTTTGGAGCTGTGGGTGATTGCTGGCGTTTGAGGAGGATTTTCGTCTTTCTAATATCAAGTTGATTCCATTAGCTGATCGCAGAATAATATGGATGACCGGCTTGATATCTTCTGATGGAAGTAATTTGTATCTTCTTATGGTTGCAGCGATGATTGCTTTCATTTCTAGCAGAGCAAATTTTTGACCTAAGCATATATAATCTTATATTATATTATTGTGGAATGTTTAAATCATGAAAAGTTTGGATACTACAATTGTGTAATGGATAGAAATATACTGTTTTATAAATATACTCATGCTTTATTAACTGTCATTGCCCCATATATTTTTTTTATTTAATCTTTATTTGTTTCCTGAGAAGAACCCCAAGCAAATTGAGTCTATCTTTGTATAACAAGCATTATTACTATAAGAATGACTTAAACAGCATATATGGTAAAAAGTCAGACAGTTAAAATAACTCCCATCAATGCACATACACAATATCAATAAATACATTTTATTTTTGAAATATAAGTAATAAACTATGATTTAAAATTCAATGAAAATATACTTGCATGAACAAAGAAAACAAACAAACAATATTCCAGATTACCCAACCAATTCTCTATAATTTGATATAATAGAAATGAAAAAAATATAATCTTCTATAGGGGCTGGCTCAAATAATTCCATCCCATTGAGATTACCCATACCCTTGTAAATTCTTACTCTTAAACTATTGTATATTGGGTATTTAAATAATACTGATAAAGTATTTCTTTTTCTATAGTATTACACATTTTGTGGAGTGAATTTTATAATTTTATTGTCAACTGAAACCTTAATAATATATTTTCCCGCAGGCGAATCTGCATTAATAATCTGGTATATTGTTAAAAAAAAATTCAAATGTTCATCATAAGCTGAGCTATGCAATGTTTTATTTTTGTCACCCTCCTGCAAATGCCTTTGATATTTATTTAATATTCTGTCTATATTTTTTGCTCTAATTATGGCTGAGTTGGTTTCATAAACTATACTATATCACCTTCACCATTAGCATTTAACGATACTTCAACTTTAACAATACTGTCTCCACCACTGATAGTTAATAACTTGTTATTTTGATGGCTTAAGCACAAAATGTGTAGGGAAATTTAAATAATATAATCTGGAGAGAACAGTATCTAAAACAATAGCCAGAAATTTAGCATGCTAATTGTTCTTAACGCTTTGATTATATCACCTATACAGTTTCGAGGACCTGCACTGAACGGTAAGTAGGCGTAAGGATGCCTGTTCAAACAATTTTCTGGAAGGAATCTATCTGGGTCAAACTGTTCCGGGTTCGGAAAGTACTCTGGGTTTCTATGGAGAGCATAAATCATCATTATGATAGTGCATCCAGCTGGCAGGACATAGCCACCTGTAATAGAAATAATGTTAAAACTTTATATAAAACAAAGATGTTTCCCAGTTGTAACAGGTTACAACTTAGTAACAGGTTACACGATGGTTTTTTGGAATAAGCGGACGTTGATATCTAATTATTTAAATATAATATCAGATCTAAAATTATTAAACTACAGTAAATTTATTTAAGGTTATAAACATATCCATGAAATGATTTTATATTTTAATTCTGTCACATTAGTGCTAAGAAATAGTGTTTTAAACAATGCCATTGCCTTGATTAGGTAGATTTTAAATACTTTTTTTTTTCAAACTTAGAAGTTTACATTTAGTTAGTTAATTTCCTTGAAGGATGGAAGTTATGTAGTTTTTTCTCATCTACTGTTAAATTTTTTACTTTCACCTACGTATATATGTAATATATAGTAAGAGTAAGTATTGCGATTGAGAAAATTTTTTAATCTGAGTTCGACGGATTTATACGTTTTGAGGTACCCTGAGTCGAAATGTCCAAGTCCCGAAAAATGTTCTGTGTGTCTGTGTTTGTATGTTAGCAGTCTAGCCCAAAAACGATAAGTCCTATGAAACTGATATCACGTATTTAAGATAGGTATATGCCTTAGTTGTGACAGCAACTTTTTCCTTAAAATCGGCATGAAACACATAAAGGAATTAAAAATATTGACATGCAATTGTCTGATTATATCAATATATGTATATTTTATTTTTTTTATTGAAAATATTACAATCTCTCTCAAAGGACATTTATGATAGTGTTCAGAGATCTATTATATAAAAAAGTTTTTAGTGACCTCATTTGTATAATGAGGATTGATCCGCTGTTAGGTGTACGGGGGAGAATCCCTAGTCACTTAAAAATAATGAATAATTATTTAGTTAAAATGAGTTGTAAATGTTTAGAAAATAATACTTTGCATACATTTAAATCCTACATATCTACATACTTCTCAGTTTGATGTCTTTTTCTGCCGCTCTTTGCATAAATGGACCAACTGGCAATATCCTTAATGATTCTTTTATTACTCGTTCCAAGTATTTAAGCTGTTGTAGATTGCTCAAAGTGAATTTCTCTTCTCCGATAACTGATTCAATTTCTCTTAGTACTTCCTCCTGATGAAATATAAAGTTATAGTGAAGATTTAAAATATATGATAACAGATGATATAGAACTCTTGAAGATACCTGGATTGTGGGATGCTTGGATAGTAAGTAGAGGGTGAAGTTGATACAAGATGTGATGGTATCGTGTCCCTACATGTTATTAAAGATAATTATTTTTTTAACTTTGCTCCATTAAATAAACAGGTGAAATTGAATAAGATTAGGTTTAAATAAGTTTCTTACACCAAACATGAATGTGTTAACTTCATCCAGAATATCCTTGTCAGTAAAATGGGAGGATCTGTTTTGGGTTTCTAACAGTACATCCATGAGAGCTACCCTCTCTTTCTCATCTAAAAAAAATCAATATTACTGACGTTTATTTAAGTATTTTTAGATACTGTAACTTATATTAATAAGATGGTAAAAACAAAACTGTGCATATAGAAGGTAATATATATCCACACTATTAAAATGATTTGTGACAAAAAAGTATTAATTTATTTATTCTTTGATGCACACATCACACCACATTTTTAATATGATTCAGATATAGTAAGTTGGGGTTTTAGCTATATTAGGTTCAATAATGGGGTATGTATCCCCAGAACCCCAAATCGAAATGAAGCTCCATGAGGCACTTTCTTTCCACCCCTCTGAACAACTGCCTGTCTTCACTTTTATAAAAGAAATACATAGGAGGGAAACAAATTGAAAAAAATAAATATTTTGCAAGTCCGATGTTTAAAGTAATATTTATTAAGACTAAACTGATGAAAACAATGATTTTTTGGAGGAAGTAAGGAACTATTGCCACCCTGGTCTCACATCTTTCTCGGCTTATGGCTATCATCTACTCCATAAATATATATAAGAGGAAATATATCTGTGGATAAAAAGAAATTTAGATAGGATATTTAACATCAAAATGAAACTATTAAATCCAGAACATGAGGTTTGGATGCATAAGCGTTGAATATTAATATGCAATTTTAAAAAATATAATTTCACATCAAGAACTGGGTCTGCATTGAAGGGATATTGTTTGGAGAGTAGATGAATTAAATACATACCTCCACTCTATGATAACCTCAATGATAGACCAGCATAAATAGAGATTTTTTTGTCTTTTTCAAGATATTAGATATTATATTAGATATTATAAGAGTCACCAAAATGGGGGAGCTTTCGGGCTGAAGTTCCCCCCAAAATGGCAAAATATTACCATGTTTTACAGAAAAAAATAATTAAAACTATCTCTTAAAGTATTCTTGTTCGTGTAATTACATTTGATTGGACTTCAAGAACCACTTATACACCATTTCATATAGGTAGTTAATTTCTTTATTTTTTTTTCTTCTAATTAATTATTGTTATATGCATATGAAAAAAAATCTTTCGGGCTGAAGCCTCCCCCAAAATTAAATCCTGGATCCGCTAGTGCAGGTGGATCTAGAGAGGGGGTGGGCTTTAAGGCTGAAGCCTCCCACCAAAATCATAAAATACAACCATCCCTTATGAGAAAAAATTATCTCTAAAAGTATTATTGTTCCTGTAATTATGTTTAATAAGTCTTCAAAAATCACTTAAACACCATTTCATATAGGTAGCTAATTTCTTTTTTCTATTTCCAAAGTAATAATCGTTTATATATATATAAACCTTTTGGGCTAAAGTCCGCCTGGTATAAATCCTGGATCTGTCAGTCGTAAGAAAAGAAGTTAAGGAAGGGGTGGGAGAAGGTTAATTAATAAAAATCCTTTTTAGTTTATTTTCCTAATTTTGCACATTATTCTTTGTTACTTCGTTTTGTTCAAAATTATTATTTTCTTTTATAATTTGGTTCAAAAATTTGAAATATTAAGTTCAAATTCAGAACTGTTAGTACCAACATTGGCCGCTTAATCAACGTTCGCATTGAATTAAGTTAAGTAAAAGTTTTGAACTAATTTTATTTACAAAGTTTATATTACATGTAATTAATAATCTAAATAAAAAAAATACAAGCGTATGACAGTTAAAACTATGAAAGCATTATTAATTTATGTATTCTAAATAACTTTAAAAAATAAGAACACACTGATTAGTAATCGATTAGTTATTAAAAGGCGGGACGTACGTTTCACTTACCAATCTCTGAATTATTTTTGTTGTTTTTAGTTAATTGAATCCTATTTCTTTCTTCTTTTTTTCTCTTCACGAGCTATAGTAAACAGAAATGACGTTTAATATGTAAGTTAAAGTATGTAATAGATTAAAGTAGCTATTTGATAGTTTTAAGTAAAATTATTTCACTCACATCATTTATGAAATTGTCAATGAACCTCTTACTTCTCTTTTGTCTCCTTCCTAAAGAAGACAGACTAAAAATTACATCTGAATAGTATAACAACCTGCAACCTCTGAGGAGTATAGTTTCTGTCATGCTATACCATTGTACATGTAATAAATAATTAGGATTGTAAAATTAATATCATAAATGTACTGCAGCAGTAAGATAGAGGTATTTTCAAAATGTATTATTTCTTTAATTAAAATCTCACTTACTCTTTAACTTTTTGGGCATATGGAGATTCTTCTTTCTGTGCATTTATTTTTGCATCCATTGCAGTTTCTGGTTGAAACAAAAAATAAAATAAAAGACAATTTGTTTTTAGCATGTATGAAAAAGAAACATACTCTTTAATTCATGTAATGTATTTTATTATGTTTCTTATGCAGAAAGAAAAGAAAAAAAAAATCTAAAAACTTGTTTTCATTTTATTGTTGTATTGAAATTTTATTGTTACATTAAAAAAAATTATTTTTGAGATTCGATAAATCAACTTTTTATCTTGCTTTACTTTTTTAACTCTACTATATCATTCTCTGAGCCACCATTTTGTTTTTCAATTACAAGAATGAAACTTTGAAATAAGGCTTTTTAATTTTTTTTTTTTTTACTATATATAGCATAAAATTGGTTTTTATTTTATTAAAGAAAATAGATTTTGAGTAAGATAATAATAGTATCTTTATATATAGGTTATCAAAGGTGCATTTTTTTTTCTTATGCCAAATGGTCGTTAATGTTTGATCAAATATAACGATTCAGTCATAATTTTGAAGATTATCTTCTCCATTTTTTTTTTTTTCAAAAATAAGTACACCCGTCAGAAAAGTAAAAAAAATAAGTTATAAATAAGATAATTGAAAAACTTGAAGGAAGTTAGTCGACTGTTCTACATATCATGGATAATAAATATTCAGGACACAGTATTTTTTAAAATTTTTAATTTTTGCCAACGTTTCAACCCAAACATATGGGTCATCTTCAGGGCATGGTTTGAGCACTGATGTTGTTCAAGTACTCGATGGAGTATGTTGTTCAAGTCCTCCATGGAGTAATTGAACAACCTCAGTGCTCAAACCTCGCCCTGAAGATGACGCACATGTTTGGGTTGAAACGTTGGCAAAAATAAAAAAATTTAAAAAAGACTGCGTCCTGAATATTTATCATCCATAATTTAAAAAGTATATGATTCAGGATTGATTATGCTAATGTTGGTTATTTGTTCCTAAATTCTCTTTAAAATAAATAAAAAAGATGTAAACAAAGTCAGACTACTTTTAGCAAAGATACAGCTAGTTTTAATGTTAGCATATGCTTTGATTTATTGTTTCGAATGAACTGTTGTTAATTCAACTCAGGAAAATAAAATAAATTCCTCCTTCTCTTATTATATTGCATTTGCTTATTTACATTTGTTTACTGATGAATGTACGATAGAGATTAGTCTGGGCTAACTAGTTTTATATTTATATATATTATTTGTATTATATATAATATATTTTTATATTATATATATATTTACAAAATTTCTTTAATCAAACTTTGAGTATTATATTTTAACATAATTATTTAAATTGGGAATTAAGTCACTTAATAACTATTTAACAAACTACAAAATATTCATTGATCCTGCTGTTTATTCAACGTTTCAATTCTGTTTTTTTTTTTAAGTTAACAATGGGATCCTCTTCAATGTTTTAAAATAGAGTCTCGATACGTTAGGCCAGGAACACACCGTCAGCCTCAGCATTGTCCATCAGCACAGATATTAAACAACTGAGTACAGTCGCTACTGTAATATCTGTGCTACTTTTCTCAGTATATGAAATATATATATATATATATATATATATATATATATATATATAATTTTTTTTTACCATATTAATGTTACTTAATATGTCATATTTTTCTGAGTAGAATCTTTTCAAAAACTGATTATATTGCTTTTATTACTAACTGTTTTTCTTATTAAAAACTTTGTTTACCCTAAAAGGGAAAAATAAAACATTATGTCTTAATCACAAAAAGTTTCATGAGGAAATTCTTTGCATTCTTTTGGTGTAGAATTGCACTTGGGACAAAAACATATTCCACATATCATAAAAAGTAACATTAATTTAAGAAGGAGATGGTTCGGTAGTCAGTCGGAAAAATATAAAATAATTACTAACTAGGGTAAGCGTGCCAGTGATGGACATAGCCAAAGAAATGTTGGTCTTTTTCATCTTATGTCGTCGTAATTATTATAGTTATAAACTTCTCCATTTAGAATCGCTAGGGTATACTTTTTCTATTTAACGCTTTAAAATTGAAAAAATATTCAATTATGCAGGTATAATCTCCACTCTTAAATTCACTTGTTCTAGTGATGGAAAGATGATCGGTAGCAGTAATGGACATACATAAAAAATCTGTAAAATCTTTGTTTAACTATAAGAAGTTCAACTTAGATTAAGATAAGAAACAACAATGATTGGTATTTTAAAATTTTCTTTTGGTAACTCTGTTCATACAGTTGTCAATATAGGACATTGTTCTTCAATATAGAAAAAACTGAAACCTTTAAATCGACAAGGAAGCTTATTATTTACATTTAAAGTCCAACCTTTCCATCACTGGGTGTCCTACCCATAACTTGTGTGTTCACCCTACTTATTGTTTGATATTTATTTGATCGTCATTAAAATATTATAACTATTGATAATCAATTATTTCATATTTTTTTCTGACCTACTCTCGATCTATGTTCTTGAATGATCATATGATCAACTATTTATGCATATAACTAAGATCATTTTAAGAATATATTAATAGGGATGAGCAAATTTTAAAAAGTTAGGTTTGACAAATGAAAAATGTTAAATTATTAAAAAAAAAAAAATACAAAATACCAAGTTTTTAAGTTTTTTAAGAACTAACAATGGTCTTAATTAACAAATTATCCATTGTTAACCTTCCTTTTCTTCCTATGTTTAGGACCAGTGCTTTTGAGTTGTATCTTTCCCATCCCAGATTACATCCCCCTCCCCATTAAATTTTCTTGAGTAAATGGTGCGTAAGGCTGTTTAGGAGGAATAACTAGTACTTTGAAAGTATAACCTATTCTTGCAGTATTTCTAACTGTAAAACTTTTGAAATAAATACATTTTATTTGGTTGTGTTATATGTAAGCAATCATAGATTTCATTAAAAGTATTGTTGATGACAACTAATAACTAAAACAAGGCATGATTCTATGAAAACATATTTGTTTTTAGAAAAATAATTTTTTTTTATGGTTCAAATCTGATGTGTGGGATATGGTGATTTCAGTAGGTTTAGTCAATGATAATTATAAGTTTTTAACAGAAGAACTGAAGATAAAAGGATGGTCATTTAGGTATTTTGTTGAAAACTTGGTATTAGATCTGGTAAGGGATTTGGAACCAATGAAGAAGAAAACCTCTTTTAAAACTGGGCTGAAACTAAATGTATAAATTAGATTTCAAGCAGTTTAGGAAAATAATTGTTTGAATGTTTTAAGTAATATAAATATGAATTGTCAATAACTTCTAATATAATAAAAATCAAACCTTAAGATACAAAAGCTTGTTTTGTATTATTTACATATATATATTACATTCACTCTACCTGCAATTATATCCAGGGATAGGTAGGCAATATAGTTTTCTATGTTAAAGCTTCCTTTTCCTACTTTTTCGTCTAGTTTTCTCAGGTAAATATCAATGTTTGCATTAAATATTGGAATGAACTTTTCAAGAATTTTGAAATGAAATGCTGGTGTTATGAGTTTCCGATGGCTGTACCAGTGTGGACCTGGAAAAGAAAAAAAAAAAACTTATTTGGATGGCATTAGCAGAGGGGAACTGTTCAACAAAATATGCTAAAATAGATGGTTTTAAATGGAATCAGTGCTTAATATTTTATATAGAAAAAAATTGCCATTTTCCCAGAATAAAAGTTATTTTTGAAGGGAAGGATGATTGGAGTGATCAGTCAAAATAAAATAATAAAAATAAATAATTGTATATATTTTCACATTCGCCAACGTTTCGGCCTGAAGTTTAGGCCTTCATCAGGGCTTAGTTCACATTTTTCGGCTAACCGGCTCCCCTCCTTCAAGCTACAATATGTCTGTTGTCTATGCTTGTTGATAGAACAGGTTCGTTTATTTTCTTATCTTAGTTTTCTCCTTTCTGTCACTCTGTTTTCCATGTCTTCATCTCTATTTTGTATATATTGATACATTTGCTCATTCATCTTTTTTACATTATTTTAACTTTTTATTCTCTTAAGCGTTGTTAGTAGTTTTGATAGATTTTACAATATCTTAATTTTCTATTTATATCTATTATTTCCTTATATAACTTCATATTTCTTTTCTCTGTTTTACACTATATTTGGACCGATTAAAGGAAAATGGGACAGAAGTCGCTTTCCAGTGGATACCAGGCCATTGCGTGCTCCACGGAAATGATGAAGCTGACAAACTAGCCAGAATAGGTTCTGGAATGATGGAACCAGATATTCCTCTTGGCATGGATTCAATGAAAAGAATAATAAAACAGACCCTCCAAAGTTCACTGAAGGAGAAATATGCGTAAACAATTGAAGGGAAGCGATGTAGTGGATTGCTGGAAGAAAGTGGTAGGATCTCTTGAGACCTCCCTAGAGGGCAAGCCGTGGCATGTTTTAGAATACTCACAGGATATGATTTCCTTCAGAAGCACCTCCACCGCATCGGTGTAAAAGATAGCCCGACATGTCCTCTGTGTTCCTTGGATATGATGACAGGAGGACATCTTGATACATGCCCTGCATTACAGGACATAAAATGTTCCTTTAGTGAAATGGACAGCCCTTATGCTAGGAGAGCAAAATTATATTGGACTGCAAGAGAACGCATGGCTGATCAAGCAGGCATTACTTAAAAACAACTTTATTTTAAGATTACCATTTTTCATTTCTTATGTTACCCTATTTTGATTGTTTATTTCATTAGCCCGTGCTTTGTTGCTGTTATTATTATTATTTATTTCTTAGTTCTCTGTTACTGTTATTATTCTACCTACTTTATTTTACTTTAATGTTCACTCTATCTACTTCATTTTACGTTAAGTCTTTTTTACCTACATTTTTTAGTTTATACCTTTCAGCTTTTTTTATTTTAATTCTTTTTTATTTAATGTTTATAGTTCCTTATACCTATTGTCATATGGTCCTTTTCTTAGCCCTGATGAAGAGCTGAAACGTCGGCGAATGTAAAAATAAATACAATTATTTATCTTTACTATTTTATTTTGACTGAATACCCCAACGATCATTCCCTTTAATTATTCACTATAGTCAACCATCAACCCACAAAAGTTATTTTTCATTTCATTATTTTCTTTTTACTTATAATGACACAATCTTTTGTAACTTAATTTTTTTTTCCAGTTTGACTAAAAAGTGTTTATCTGAACTACTCAGTGCAATTTGGATTGATGGAGATCACCGAGAAGCTGCTATGTTTTTGAAGTTCAAAGGTATGAAGTTGTATTTATCTTATGCTGGTTTTATTTTTAAATTTGTAAATGCCTATCTCATATATGGTATATATGTTCTTAAGTACATTTGGGTTTTTATGATGAAATAGTAGTTACCTGATGCTGTAAATAAGCCCTGCCCTAGCCATGGTTCAAAGAATTTATATTGATAGGACTTTCTCGTGAGATCTCTGCTTGTTAGGATTTGCTGAAACATGCATTTCAATTTTCATTTTACATCATACTATAACATTTCTTCAATAAAATAAAATTTTTTATTAAACAGTAGAAACCTGTGTTGTAATTAAAATTTTCTAAACCAAATATTAAATATATAATGGTAGAACTAAATGCATCCTCACCTCTATGTCTTGCAAATCGTGAACTAAGACAATAGCCATCGGCCCAATCCAAACTGCCAAAACTCCATGTTCTTGGATGGATCTTTTATTGTCTGGTTCCCCTATTATCTCCAATATCTTGTCCAATAGTTCTGAAAATTATGTGATAATTTTGTAACAGATTCAAAGGCAAATTATTGTGAGATTCTTATCAAGGTGGATTGTAGTTGTTCCTCTGTATGATGATGGATATGTATGAATGAGAAAGGCCTGAATGTTAGAACTTGGATTAGATGGAAAGTAACAGAAGGAAAGAACACTTCAGACGTTGGAGACAGGGGTAAGATATTGTGCAAGCTAATGGAATCTTGCTAGTACAGGTAAAGGGAACGAGCCTTCTGCCCATTAGCGCCGGCACTTATGAAATGCTTTTTCTTTTCTTTTTTTTTTATTTTTTTTTACCTCCAGACAAGCAAGTCCTATTTCACCAGTATATAGCAATGCTTCTTAAGTTGTTGCTAGTTACTAGTTGAAATTGATTCCGAAATGCAAATATTTAATGAGAAATTTATAATGTTTATATTAAATCTTTAAATTCTATATTGATAATTCTATTATTGATTGGTCATAAATTTTGTAATGGCTATATTAACTTGGACTTATAACTGGAACCAATATAATAATTTAATAGTTTTATAGACTTACAGGAATTTTATTGAACTTACATATAAGTTTATGAATCTCAGAAGAGTAATGAAATACTTAAATAGGTGCATTTATCTTGTTTAAAAATTGTCCTAATCTAGAAGCATTATCTTTATTGATTGATCTAAGATAACTAATACTATCATCGACAACTTGCGACCCTAAACTTATCCTTCGTTTATCAAACCTCTTGCATTGGAAGGCAATGTGTATTGGATCTTCCAGGCTTTAGCATGTTGGGCACTAACTGCTCTTAGCTATATCCATTAGATGTAGATATTTGTTTGTTGTACCGTGGTTTATTTGAGCCTGGTCAGCTTCATTAAGGTGGGTTGGTCAAAGTGAAATTTAAGTGTCGCAAACCATGGAGTCAAGGCTATCTTCGGATGAACTGTGTGGTGTTCCTTACCCTCCGAGGCACATTTCCATTTGTAAAAATGCTGCCATTGCTTCATTGTCTTTCTCCTCACTACACTCATCAAGTCCAATAATCGTCATTTGGCAGATGGACCTGATTTTGATTTGCAGTTTTGTCTACCATCTCATTTCCCAATAAACCTACATGTCCTGGCACTCATTGGAAACAGTAATTATTGTTGGCTTTGTGTTTTAAAAAGGATGCAATTTTAAAAGATATGTGTGTTTGTATTTTATTTTGATGTACAAGTTCTAAGTTTGCATGTAGCTGCTGAGTACATCAGAAAACTATTTTGTGGTTAGTGTATGTATTTTCAGTGTTTATTATGGTGCTGAAGATGCTAAATTCGACTGATACGGATAGGGAAAATATCTGATTTTTTTGGGGACCGAATAAAGCTACAGAGGTTCGATTACTTGTTTTTTGAGGTATCAGTATAGACATGTTGATAATTTGGGTTCAGTTCTGTGATTGTATCAAGTGCTAGTTGTTTCAAGTAAATTGAAGGTTAGAAAGTTTTCTTCTCTACTTTGCCAGCTAGATGGATATCAATCAGAGCTATGGATATCAATTAAAGATTTGGGAATAAAATATTTATTTTATTTTTTTCTGTTGGCATTACAGATCATGTCGATCTTTTTCCCCCTTAACAAGCCTGCTCCATCTCTGCTTTTTGGCCATTTAGTCTTTTGTCTTCTATTGAGGCATTCATTGTTACTAGATGCTTCCAGATGGATTGCTATGAGCTACATGCACTGCCCATCTTAACCTCCGTGCCTTCATATCATGGAATTTGAGATTGACCAGTTTCTGTCAGCAGTTCTTTATTGTTCTTTTTTACTTTCACTTATATATATATGTAATATATAGTAAGGGTAAGTATTGCGATCGTGAAAATTTTCGAATCTGAGTTTTCAACGGAAATACACGTTTAGAGGTCGCCTGAGTTCAAATAACCTAGTCCTGATAAACGGTCTGTGTGTCTGTGTGTATATGTGAACACTCTAACTCGAAAACCAAAAGTTGTAGGAAACTGATATTACGTATTTAAGATAGGTATATGCCTTAGATGTTCTAGCAACGTTTTCCTTAAAATCGGCTTACCGGAAGTGCCACTTTATATCAAAGCTGAAACACATTTTTTCAAATTTTCACAAAAACGGCTTTAACGATTTTGATTAAACTCGGTGTATCATTGTATAATTAAGTGGTCTTTAATATCATTCAGGTCTTATCCCCGTTGATGTCACTTTGCAGGGCTTAAATGCCCAATGTTCATATAGGTCTACCTCTAAAGTACCTTTAATATGGTTCATTTCAAATAATTAACTATCTGTCATTATTAAAAGTTACGAAAAAATGCTAAATATAACTTTTGAAAGAATTCTATAATTGAATAAAGGAGAAAAAATAAAAATGCTTTTCCAGGTCGAAAATAAATCTCCGGAAATAATAGTGGGCTAAGCTTAGAGCTTCAGCCCGAAAGCTCCACCCCCCCCCCCCCCTCCCGTAGATCCGCCTGTGTTTCGAGGCATTTATTTTTTTTAAAATATATGTGTTGATTCAGTTAATTGAGAATACTATATCGTCTTTGATTGTTCAAAATCTTTATTTGGTATGGATTTACGGTTTAATTTTTCCACTATACACCCAATCTACTTATATTTTATTTATTAAGAGAGAGAAAAAACTTTAATGAAATAGTAATTTCGCGAAATATTCTACTTAATTATACATATGATTTTCGATGAAAACAACTATATCAAAAAGATTGACGTGTTGAAACTAATCCTTGTGCTAGAAGCCAGATGCCCTCACCGGAAGAAGGTATAATTGTTGCTGAAGGATCTACTCCCTTTCCCCATATTGAAAGGTTGGTGCACTTGTTATAATATCTAATAATTTTCCAAATTTATGCAAAGTTTTAATTTAAAAAAATCAAGTTATCGTTATAAATATATCTGTTTCGATTGTGTTATTTAATTCATGCAACTTATCATAATTACAAATAATAAACACAAACAGATCATAATTGTTTTGTTTTCAGCTTATCGATTCTTTCCTTACTATTATCGTAGATCTTTTTTTATTGAAGTTATTTTCTGATTTATACCAAATTTGGTGAAACGAAAAAATAACCTCTTGTGACTGATTACCGATTGATATCGATTGTTTTTATAGTTTTGCTTTTCGTTTGATATAACGTTTTATCACCTCATTCGTAGACACTTTTATCAGTTAATATAGTTGTTTGTTATTAGAAATGTTAATGAACTGGTTTTCGTAAAATGAATAAAATAATTATCTGACCCTCCTTTGGTGAGACTTCATTTAAGGTTTTATTATTTGCATTACTACCTTAATTGAATTATACCGTTTGAACATTATTGAGGTTTAAGGTTATGTTTAGAGTTTCGAGTTAATATAAACAGCTTGCCAAAATTAATTTTAATTTTTTTGGGATTATATTGTATGGAAATTACAACCTATAATTTCCTATCTGAATTGTATTGTCTTAACTACATTTACATTCTAATATTCCTAAAGAATTCGGAAATATGAGCTTTTAATTATTTAGGTTAAGACTAATGTAGCTTGTCACAACAATAAATCGACATTTGTTGAATAATATTCAATATATCGATTAGTGCAATTGTGATGGTGCATGCCCCCCCTTTCTAATAAATTGTATTGTTTTGATTTTCTTTATAACGATACAATTTGAATTGTACTTATAAAAATTGTAATTTATATACCGTTACACTTGATATTATAACTTGATAATTATACGTATGTTGCATCTTTTCTCATCAAAGTGGAGTGCCTTGGTTCCTCTACTACCTAAATGAAACTCAACAAAAACTCGGTTTCCCTCAAAATTTTATCCATTTGGGCTCTAGATTTGAGATTAAATGTATGTTATCACAAAAAATAACAAATTATTTACAAAAGTTATTCTAGCATATTTTTTAAAGAAAAATATTGAGAAGAATTTATGGAGTTGTTTGTGAAGAGGGTGTGTGGAGGTATCGAAAAAATTCGGAGCTATATGGAATATATAATAGCGTCAACATAGTTCATTTTGCTAGGTCTCAATACTGGAACGATGGTAGGTCTGTAGATCGATACGGTACAAATTGGATCTTGAAGATTTTGATGCGTACAGCAAGACCCGGATAGTTCCTTCGGAACTATCGGATCCTGCGTTTTTAAGCCCAAAAACGTACTTTTTTAGAGGCATAGGGTTCGCATTCACACAGTCTTACGTTAATCAAAATTTTATCCATTTGGGCTGTAGATTTGAGGTTAAATGTATGTTAGCACAAAAAATAACAAATTGTTAACAAAAGTTATTCTAACATATTTTTATAAAGAAAAGTATTGAGAAGAATTTATGGAGCTGTTTGTGAAGAGGGTGTGTGGAGGTATCGAAAAAATTTGGATCTATCTGAAATATATAGTAGCGCCAACATAGTTCATTTCATTAAAACTAGGCGTATGGAATGGTTAGGCCACATAATTAGAATGGATGCCTTCTAGGGGACATTGTTCTCTGCAATGTATTGCACAAGAAAAAAAATGGTATCCCTCATTGAATATTTTATTTTGATTCATGACATTTTTTTACGTGTTCACATACCTAAATCTTTTTAGCTTACAATGTTTTGGAATTCCGTGGGTCAGTGTATTCGACTTCTGAGAAGGTTTACGTATGTAAGAAATATGGTAAAATCTCTTGACTTTTATTAGTTGATCGATTATAAATTAATATCAATCGATATTTACCATCTTTATCCACCCACAAGTTGAGGGCGTGGCCGATTAGCGGGGCCTTCTTGGCATAAGGGAGTCGCAAAGCCAACTTGTAGTAGTTGAAGTGTCGGCAGAAGAAACGCAGGAGGAACAATGCTGTTAGGAGGATTCCAAAGAGGATCAACATTATTCTGCACCTGTAACATATAATTATTGTATTAATAATGTATTGTAGAGATGAATGACCGTGATTAGAATATGAGAAGGAGTTGGTCGGGGAAGGGGGAGGGGGTTCGCATAAATAAATACTAATTTAACATATCCCCACCCCATCCCCACATATATTATTACAGTAAGGCTCGAAATCGGTTTTGTACCAAGTATAAGCTCCTGTCATACTCAAATACCATGAATGGGGTACCGTTGGATTCAGAATTTCACGGGGGGTTAGCGAATCGTATTCTCCACTTTGGTTTTTCTTTCTAAAATAAATAAAGTCGATACAAACATTTTGCTAGGCTTCAATACTGGAACGGTGGTAGGTCTGTAGATCGATATGGGACAAATTGGATCTTGAAGATTTTGATGCTTACAACAAGCCCAAAAACCTACTATTTTCGAAATAACGCAAGGCAAATGGTTCGCATCCACACAACCTTACATTAATTGTAGTACTGTCATTGAATACATGTCTCATTTCGTCGACTTGAGGTCTCTATGATCGAGAGAGGAGGAGTTTATATTATTTATCGAAGGTGGTCGGCAAGCTGTATCATCGTTAATTCTTCACAAAATTCCAAGATTGAGTCACCAATTCGAAGACTTCCTTCTCCTTCAGGCGGGCAAAATAGTCCAATCTCCTCGAAAATTCAGGCAAAAAAGTTATGAAAGAAAATAAAACTTGATTTGCGAATAACTCAAAAATCACACTCGTTTCCTTAAGTTATGTCCATGATTATATAAAAGATTATTAAATTCTATACAAATGGAAAAAAAAAAATATCTAAATCGGACAATTTTTAGCTTAGATACAGCTTATTGAAATTTGTAAACATGTTTAATTCCAAACATTAATGAAATTTTAAATTAATTTCCTTTGTCGATTATAGTTATCGATAAAGTAACAATTAATTTCTTTATCTTATGATACGTTGCATTATTTTATTTTATTATTAATTTGGCATTTGACCACTTAATATGCTGTTCGAATTTTTCGCACGGGTCTGCTAGCAATATTTATTTGACCGCACCCTTCGACTGTCGATATCAAATTATTGTATAAATTAATGAATTTTAAGTATCAACCGGTCTATTATTTTGGATCTTCTTTCCAAAATAATATTTGTAAAAATTTACTATCGAAAATTTGTGTGAGTAAAAAAAATTAATCGCTAAGTGGCGCGCTGTCCTGGAAACTCACATTCCCAGCAGCAGTGATCGTTTATAAAGAAATCGTTATGGATATTACCCACTAATATCTTAGATGTGCTGTTTTCCTCCTAGGGGTCGTGGTGGCCATTTATCATTCTCGAGTATAGCAGGGCTTATCGTATCTTAAATGGTATCTTAAATTCATCTCATTGGAGGACCACGGAATGAATCTCTAAAAAGTTTCGTTGTATATATGCTATAAATGGCGAGGTAGAGAGTAAATGAAAAAGAAAAACAAGATATGTACCCCCTTCCTGGAACCCGACCAACAGAAGAACCAGTTAGTGACGATCCAGTAGACACCTTTACTTTGGATGTCCAAGGCGTGCCGAAGTGTGTCTCACGAAACGAGTGAAAAGACGAAGAAAGACGAAAGAAGAAGTTGCTACACAAGGAAAGTACCATACTAAGAAAGTATTTCACAAATAATCACGGGCGGATCTACGGGAGGGGGGGCTTTCGGGCTGAAGCCCCCCCCAAATGGAAAAATATAACCATGTTTTATGGGAAAAAAATTAAAAAATACCTATTAAAGTATTATTGTTAGTGTAATTACATTTAAAAGTACTTAAGGAATAACTTAAACACCATTTCATATAGGTAGTTAGTTTCTTTCTGTTTTCCCAAAGTAATTATCGTTATTTTTATGAAAAAAAAAAGGTTTCGGGCTGAAGCCCCCCCAAAATTAAATCCTGGATCCGCTAGTGCAAGTAATAGAGAGAGAGAATCACTTTATTATCATAAAATAAAATAAAATGGTGCTGCCCAATTACATTGGGTTGCTAACAACACTAATAACAAATTTGCACTACAACACTAATAATAATAATAACAAATTTGCTTTGAAATAGAATAGACACCTTTTTGTCAAATTATTAACATCCGGCTGAAACTTCCTAAATAGCTTCATCTCATCGTAACCTACAAATATTTGATTTACGAAAATGCTCGGAATTGGTGCGTTTTCAATCTGGACGTCGCCAAACTTTCTCCATTTAATTAGGTACAGAAAACTCTTAAATACCCATCTGCTTTCAACTTGAATCGTAAGATAACTTGAGCGCAAAGTCGAGAAAAAAAGGTGGCCTTCAAAAATATTGAGCCGTCTTACAAATAGTCAAAATAATGAGGTTATATTGGCCAAACGGCTCAATATCTTTGTAGTTATTTGGACTCAGGAGACCTCAAAACATGTATTTCCGTTGAAAACTGAGATTCAAAAATTTTCACGATCGCAATAATTTCCTTTATTATATATTTCATATACCGGTAAGTGAAAGTAAAATGATGCAAAACAATAAATGAAAAAATCGACTGTAATTTATCTGATCTATTTTTATTTTTATTTCTACATGGTAACGTATAGATTGTACTCAAAATTTTAAATAACTTTTTTGTTAAATAAAATGTCATGCTATTGCCATTTCTGTTAGTTTATTCTTATATATTTATATTAGCAAGTTACTAAATAAGTCTAATTAGATTGGGTATAATTTAATTTTGTCTTCCTTTTTCTAGTCCTCAGAAGGCCGATAATGCTTCGTCGGACCCGAAAATCGAAGAGGGGAAAACAGGTTAGTGTTTTGTCATGTATTTATTTCAGATGATTTAAAAAATCTTCAGCTACTCAATTTTTCAACGTTACAGAATGTACAAAAAACTTTGTTAGTAATTTGTGCCTTTTTACTTTCACTTTCCTATATATGAAATATGTAGTAAGGGATAGTATTGTGAAAATTTTCAAATCTGAATTTTCTACGGAAATGCATGTTTTCAAGTCTTCTGAGTCCAAATGGCCAAGTCACGTATAATGGTCTGTGTGCGTGTGTAAGTGTATGTGACAGATGTAGCTCAGTAACGAAAATTTAAGGTTTGTATATACCTGAGATGTTACAGCGACGTTTTCGTCAAAATCGGCTAGCCGAAATTGGCTCTTTATATCATCGATGAAACAATGTAAAATTAAGCAGTTTTAAATAAAATGTAGGTTTTATTCCGATTGGTGTTCTCCAACAGGGCTTAAATGGCTAATTTTCAATATTAGCTTCCTCTAAAGTACCTTTAATATTTTTTTTTTATTTGAAACAATTAACCATTTCACATTGATCTGTAATATAAGAAATAGTTGAATATAAAATATGAATGAATTTGATAATTAACTAAAGGAGAAATAACAGATCGTAACAGACAATAGTTGTAATGAATGAACCAAAGAAATACGAGAACGCTCCCGAGCTCACCCGAATATTACAACAGGCTTCTATAAGTAACATGAGCTTAATATAATACGGACTCCGACAATATTATGTACGTATACATATGCGGTTTTCATAAATGTTTTCTTTGGTATTATTATTTAATTGTTTAGATTACTGCATTATAAATATTAAAATTTGTATACATAAGGGTACTTAAACAAATTAAAATATCCACAATGAAATATAAATCAATATAGCGTTAGTCATTTTTACTTTCGCTTCCCCTCTATCTGAAAATACTTATTTCTGCTAAGAAGAGGGTGGTAAGTGAAAGTTGTGTGATGCGCGAACCGCACCTGATTTTTTTTTCATAATGTATAGCATATGTTGACCACAAAGGTTTTGAAACATATTTTGAATATGAACATATATTCACATTAATAAACATTTTTTCGAGTTGAAATGAAATCATTACCAAAATAAGAGGCGAAGTCACTACGCAATCCTCTAGGATTTGAGATTTGTACTTTTGCGCAATGATCTTCCTTCTCAAGAACACAAGGAGATCTTCAGGTCTTCGTCTCTGAACTAATGACAGCTCCAACAATTGAAACTGAACCACTTCCTTAAGCCCATGCGGATCTACGGGTAGGAGGAAGGGGAAGGAAGAGGGGGACTTTCGGGCTGTAGTTCCCCCCCACAAAAAAATATTAAAATATAACCATGCCTTATGAAAAAAATATTTAATAATTACCTCTAAAAGTATTATTGTTCATGAAATTACATTTAATAGTATTTAAAGAATCGCTTAAAATCTATTTAATATTGGTAGACTAGTAGGCCCGTGCGAAAAATTCGCACAGCATATTGTTATCAAATGCCAAATTAATAAGAAAATGCAACTTATCAAAAGATTAATATCGAATGTTACTTTATCGATAAATATAATCGACAAAGAACATAAAAATTAATTTAAATCTTCATTTTTGTTTGGAACCAACATGTATACAAATTTCAGTAAGCTGTATATTTGCTAAAAATTGTCCGATTGCGATGACCAAGGCTCCCCCCGGTTCCGATTTAGTGCAAAAAAATTTTTTTTTATTTCTATGAAAATTCGTATTTGAGTATTTATAGAGGTGCGAAATACAAATCTCAACTCTGTTAAAAAAATATTTGAACCCACTTTCGTCCTTCGGTCAGTACAAATTGTTTCATCGTCGTACTGATAATATAGCTAAATGCCAAATATATAGTTATTTTGAAATAAAATTGGCTATAATAGAACTTTCATAATGAATATCAATCGAAAATACGAAAAAATAAATAATAAAATGAAAAATAAAAAATATTGGAAAAATTTCTAATCGTTTTCGATGATGTTGTTTTTTTCCTTTTGTAGGGAATTTAGTAACCTTTTATATAATTATGGGCATAACCAAGGGAAAAGTGTGTAATTTTTCAGTTATTCGCAAATAAAGTTTATTTTTTTTCATAACTTGTTTGCCTGAATTTTCTGGGTGATAGGACTATATTGCCCGCCTGAAGGAGAAGGAAGCCTTCGAAAT